TACACACATGTTGATTTTTTTTTTTAACTGTTTAAAATTGTTAATTGTGTCCAAATAAAACATCTATATGACTACAGATAGTAGTTCAGCATTTGTTTACAGAGTGTGACCAGAAAACTGTGCTGGTTTATGTACATTTTTTAAATTATTTTAAAAATTCCAGGTATTTGCAGTTTTTTTTCTTTTTCTTTTCATTGTTTTAAATGTTTTATATTTTGTCCTGCACCTTCACCACCAGGTGTTCACCAGTTTTCTTTCTTGTTTTTTAATTTCTTTCTACAGATTTGTAATTTACAGAGTAATCAGACACTTTTCTGAAAGCGGCTCAACTTTTATCACCATCAGACGTCTTGTTGAACACCATCAGTCCTCAGGCAGCTCTACAAAGTCCTGCTCTCCTCAGGAACACAGTTTGTTTTACACTAAAACAAAGCAGCGGTGCAGAAGCCACGAGGCCGACAGGATTCCTGAAGTGTTTTCTGCCGTAAAGCTTTGGACGGTTTATCCCTGAGAAGCGTTTGGTTTGAGCAGAAAGTCAAACTGTGGTTTCACTGCGGTCGCTCTGCTTTCACTTCCTCCACCAGCAGCAACCACACGGGCGGTGAAAGCTGCCGGATATCCAGGAAATCACACAGCCAGACCNTATTTTGCTGAATTTTCGTACCGGAAGACAGAAACAAAACTATTGTCGATTCAATGAAAAGAAAAATACAAGAAAGAGGAAATATTTAAGTTTTAAGTCAAGAAGTGGCCGATACATGGAGCAGACAGTGTTTTAAACATCCAGAGTTTATGATGAAGAAGTCGGTCCTCGTGGTTCTAAAAGCAGGATGCAGCTGCTGACGTTCTTCTATATTACATTCTCTACATCTTATTTTACCTTCATTTCATTCCCTACTCTAATATTCTGTGTGGTCTCTTTGCCTCGTTTGCCCCCTCTGGGGTTAATGAAGCCCGGCTGAGCTACCTGGAGCGGTGGTGTCCGTCGTGTCGTACTCTCCGTCCCCGAGGTCGAGCTCCCGGGTGTCCAGCTTCTCCATGATGCCCGTCATGTCGTTGGCCACCAGCTGCAGGGTGCTGGAGGTCGGCTCCGACTGGCCCAGCATGGTTAGCACTCAGTGTGGAGCCCCGGGCTCACCTGCAGGCACAGGGGAGGTCACGTTAGGTCACATGGTGCTGAGCTTTTTTTCGTCAATATTATGGGATGTATCACAGCGTGAACAGTGGCACAGAGTCACAGAAACAATCATCGGTAAGCTGGACGTGTTTCTGGCTTCTCTTAATTCAGTTTAAAGCTTTAAAAAGTGCATTCTGGGTAAACGTTCAGGCTCATGGCAGCACGTGTGGTGGTGGTCGGTCAGGACAAGTTCTAGACAATTAAAGGACCATTTCGACTCCAGTTTGGCAGCTTTTATCCGAAGCGGTGACGGTTGCTGTTGGTTTCCGGCGGCATAACATCCTGTTGTTTGTTTAATTCTGCGTGAACCTACATTAGTTTGATCTGCTGGGATGAGGCTGAAAGCTCTGGACCAACGCAGCGAGCAGGTCCTTCAGTCGATATGTTGATTTTAGAGGATTTGTTTTGGTGCTGTGAGCTCTGAAACTTTATTGTAATTTAAAGAATGAAAACAGGAGCGTGGTTGACATTTTAAGGAACAGCAATGAATGGATCCACCTGTTTGAGGTGAATCTAACAGAACTAATCCTGACATGGATTTTAGTTGATGATACGTTCACTCATGCTGCCATCGTCGTGTCTTTGCTTCATCCAGACGGCAGCTCGTCTCGTCTCATCACGTTTCTGGGTCATTGATGTGAAAATCCCTGCAGTCAATCCTCTCCGTTCACCGTCTGACCTGTTTTTGTTTTTTAGCCTCGTCTCTCTCTCTCGCAGCCAACGCCCACACATTCAGACTCTTCTACCGAGAAACGTGGTTTAATAAAAGGCTGCTTCTAATCCTGATGCTTGGATTAGCGTCGCATCGGATGCGATCGGAGGGAACAGAGGCGGACAGAGAGGCGGCAGGTTGAAAAAGAAACCAGCGTCAAGAGGAAGCTGGTGAGAGGGGCAACATAGGATGGACGGAGGAGATTTGTAAGACAGACAAAGAGCATGAAACGAGATTTAAATAACAGATGTAATGCCACTTCATCGGTGTAACTGATTTACTGTCAGACTGTTGCTGTGAGAACAAGCTGAAGTCCAACATTCGCTCTCTTTTAGCTCCGTTTTTGGTCTCCACCACCTACTCAAGGAAACATCAGGCTTTTTTTTAGCAGCGCTCACTCGTCTATAACAGTTTCAAATGCATCATGGGAGCCAAAAAATGTAAGTTACAAGCCAGAAACACAAAACAAAGTAAGTGCTAGCAAGCTGTTTGCTAATTTTAGGCTCAACATTTACTCTCTTTTAGCTCTGTCTTTGGTCTCCACCAGCTCAGGGGGATACAAAGTACACGATAAAATGCTAAAAGTAGTAAGCTGCTCTGTATTAACTGACTGTCCATTTGATGAATACAAATCCAACACTGGCTCTCTTTTAGCTCCATTTTTGGTCTCCACCACCTCCTGAGGGAAGCTTCAGGTTTGCTAACAGCACTTTATTGGTTTCTTTCTGCTGTTTGCCGAGCAAATGAAGTGTAGAGAACTCTTAGAGCTGAAATCAGCAGCCAAGAACAACACTTTGGGGGCCAAGACTGTAAAGTTAGGGTCCAGAAAAACAAAACAAAGTACAAAAAAAGTGCATGAAACGAGGTTAAAAGGAGGAAAGACGTCCCACTTATTTGGTGAGTAGAAGCAGCAAATTTTAACTCCCAGTTTTGTTAAATTACAGATAATTTATTATTTTATTATTATCAATTTAAAACGAATAAATTATT